CATCCAATGTAAAACAACACCCCATATTCTATTTACAAAAAAAAAAAAAGAGCGGGTCGAACATTGCTGGAACACTCTCCCCCCCCTTTCCCCCTCCGGGGGCGCCGCCCCCCCCCCCCCCCCCCACGGGTTACGGGATGGAGACTTATGACACTTTAGACTAATGAAAAATCTAAGGAATCATTGATTTTCTGTAACTCCTCGTTGAAACAGGTCATATCCTCGAGTCAGCGCATCTAAACTCTACGGCTTATACCCAACTTGCTGTAATTGTTTTAATTCGAAAGAAAATCTCTCTGAAGTTATTACCAACTTGCCTAGACCACAAAATATACATTTTTTTCCCTCTAATTTATTCAGATACGATTACGTATGGGCACATTTTAAACAGCTTCCCCTACAAGAACACGGTAGATCTGGTGGAATTGAAAGGAAAGGACCTGCTCAAGGTTTTTGAGCAAGTCGCATCTATGTACAGTAAAAGAAAGCCTAGTGTATCGTTCCTACAAGTTTCAGGTATACTATTATTTATTCACCACCCTGATAGAAATAGGATGTGCTTAAAGGAGGCTTTAAAAGCAACCACGCAGCAATAACAGCGAAAGGGTCATATTAAGAAGTGAATTATTGCTGTTTCAAACTTCATCGCGATTATTCCATTCCGTTCATTTTGTCAAATTAGGCAAACTTTTCTGGATTTGAATTCTTAAGGCCGTATGCAACTAGAAAGAGAAAAAAAAGAATTGGTCGTCTATAAGGCCCCATTTATAATGAAGAAATCTTATCCCGGGAATTATCCCGGGTAGAAGGCCCTTACTCGTTCCCAGTCGTCTTTGCTAACACGCGCAGCGGGAGCACGGAGAGATAGTGAAAGATGACTGGGGACGAGTCAGCGCCTACTCGAGCTTCTCTGGGCGAGCCACCTTTTCATACATTTCCTCATAAAATTCCGCGAACCGTGTACATGAGAAACAAAAAGTTGGCTCGTCTAGAAGGGTGCTTGTTTGATAGTAGGCTCACCCTCTCTGTATAAACACTTGGGCTCGCACAGCAGGGTCAGTCAACTCGGTCAAGGCGAGACAATCCGGCAGAGTATGCGCAAGCGCTGTTGTGGGCAAAGGGGTAATTAAGACTCCTCTCTGATGTAAACGCTCCGCCGCTTAGGTTGACTTCGCTGGTGGTGACCCTCTTTCCCGGGACAACTTTTTTCTCCATATCAAGGGGGGTAACTTTCTTAGTAAACGTGAAATTAGCAAATTTCACCTCCTATTCGTGCAGTGACGAAATAGAAATGTACTAAAAAGCATGATGCACGTGCAAAGTTTCTCGCTGCCCATGCCGCCGCCGCAGTGGTTGCGTTCAACTCCACCATAAACGTCTACATAAACTGACTCCCACCTCCAATAAATAGGCCCGCATGTAAGAAAGGGATTCGATGTTCCAAGGACAGTTGTTAACGCATACTTTACTTATCAGGCCTCCAAGTAAAGTACGATATGACAAAGCCGAAAGGAAGCAAAGTAGTGGATATCCAAGTACGCTGCGCCAGATGCCAAGTCCCAGTTTATGAACCACTCGATCTTTTCGATGTTTACAAAGTAATTCTATCGTCCTACATGGCAAGGGGTGGAGCCGGGCTAAGTGTTATCAACGAGAAGAAAGTCTCCCATCAAGTGGGCAACATAACGGACGATGTTCTTATGATGAACTATTTCAAGGCCAAGTCCCCCATTATGACTGGAGAAGAGAATAGGATCACCTTTGTGAAGGAAGACGATAAAAAGCCCCCGGTATGTGGTGGTGGCGGAAACTTACGGGCTTTAAAAATACTTTTAGCTCTCGCTGTTTTTGCATGTTCAGTTGTAAAACATATTATCTAGTAAGTTGGCTCGACTGCTACTCCTCGCCATGAACAATGCACTGTTGAAAACTTAAAAACTAAATATAAAGGACAGTTAAAGTGACAGCAATAAAATAGTACAATTGCATGATGACATGATTTTACTACAACTCCCAGCATCCTTCAGTTTGTTGTTTTCTTGTGCAAATTGGGACTATTGTTCTTTATCCTCAGCGGGATTGAGAAATTTGAATAAGAAAGCAAAAACGAAAAGAATTCTAGTAGTTGTAGTCAAATGTAGTCATTGTGAGAAAGGCCCTCATCGGTTACTAACGTAGGTGAACTTCACCTGTAGACTAGACACGTAGACTACGCATTTAGACCACGCGTTTCAATTTTTGTAGCCTTGTGAGAAACAAAAAAAAGTCTGGTGTAGTACGCGTAAGTGGTTGGAGCGGCAGCCTGATTTCCAGTGCGCTGGACTCCAAATCGGGAGGTCTGGGTTCTAGCCCTGGCCGGGGTCATGTGTTGTTTTCTCCCCCTGTTGTTCAAATGGTCGATAGCGCATTCAAAATTGCCGAAAACGGTCCGGTCCTGTAACTGCCGGAAAGCAATTGTTGTTTACATTCAAGAAAGAGGTTTCAATAGTTTTTCATGATAAAACTATCAGTTAACAAAACAAAAAGGACTGGTTTGTTAGGTTCTATTGCTAACTTTGTTCATTGTTTTCCCAACCAATCCCATGACGTCTTCCGAGAGCTGCCTCGTCGCCGTTTGTCAGATATGACCCGCGCTTTTATTATTTAGATTTTGATTTAAATTTCCGTCCGAAGGGTTACCGGGACTTTCGAGAAACGCCCCCCTGCCCCCACTTGTTCAAAAGTTGGACACCACCGGATAGATCACTATCCAATGGATACGTATTACGAAAGCTAATTGCGATATCCAGTGGATAGTATTACCCACCTTTCGAACAACTGGGCCCAGAAGTATCAACGGGTACGGGCAAATTTAATGCACTAACATCCCGTGCGGGGTAGGAGGAGGTAGGACAGGTGGAAATTTGCGCGACAGGTTTCTTTCCCAAAGTCCTTTGCGCGCGCCCTCTTTCACGCTTCAAGCATTTTTTTAACGGGTAGGTTCAACAAACCCAGGGACAGGTAAAAAGCGAACTAGATGCACATCAATTATTACATGATGATGACTTTTCTTGCCTTCGCTTTGTTTATTTGTTTATTTATTTTTTGTACTAAACAGACAGCTATGTTACATGTTTCAGTGCTTACATAACCAGCACGCGTTACATCGATCAGTGCTCAACTCTGACAACCGATGTGCGCGTAAAAAACGATACTGAGCAAGAGTGAAAGAATTATGCTGCAGAGTTTGTGAGTTAACCTTGAAGTTACAGTAATTCACAAACCGCGAATACAAAACAGAACTTTGCCCCCAGATCTTCTTAGTGTAAAACGCTCGCCACCAAGCACTAATCTACTCTTGAAAAAGAACCTTGAAAAAAGGCAATTCCACAAATGGAACTAAGGTCTGTTTCAAATAGTTTGCACGATTCTTGGACTCGCAGCAGCTATTAATCCACATCCATGAATAAAAATGACCGGTTTATGACGCTCCTGGTTCCAATTCTGCCGCAGGTGTGTCGAGTTCTTCATCATTGTAAATGTTCTCGGCCTAAAATAGGAAAATGTGTTGCGTTATGGAAATTACATGTATTACATTAGTTTATGGTGGTTTACGGTCATCTCGCCCCCAAAAGACAAATCGATTCTAATTGACGATCCTTACGTAGACCCACTCATACTCTTTATACTGTAAACACTTTACTGCGTTATTATCATTTTGCCATTTGTCAAAGTTTAAGCAAGAAGAAACCAAGGAAATAACGTAGGTTTTGTTTGACGCTCACCATTTGCCAAACTTGCATGATGTTGTCCTCAGAAACACTACAGAGTACCCAAGGTTCATTAGGATTCCATGAAAAGTCTGAAATCTTGGCTGTGTGACCACCATGAATAAACTAAGAAAGGAAAACAGAAAACAGGAGAATAAATAAGACTAGATCAAGGCAAATAAAAAATTCTTGACATAATGCACTACTTTAATAGCCCACAGAGATGAAGTCCAGTGTTTGGGACTCGATTGTAAAAAAAAAAAATTGAAAATTGTAAATTGTAATTTGTTTACCCACGGATCACTAAGGAGTTCATAAGAACTCGTTGAAACGTGTCCGTGCGTTCCAGATCGAATTGGAATTTGAAAGTGTTGGTTTTTAACATAAAACATAAACCACAAGTTAAATGAAAAACGTCCAATGCTTTTCTGTATTTGGGTTCAACAGTACAAGTAGAAGAGTAGCTCTTCCAGAACTTGATTTTCATTGGCCTAAATAAGCAGTAGCTTCGTTTGTTTTCAGGTCTAGATAGGGGTATTGTGTGGGTTAAATCATCCGTTGTTTCGTTCTCCAATCAAAGACCATATCTAGAGAGCTACTGACCTTCTCAACAGTACTGGGTTCAACATTACAGTTAATTTATACTATTACATGAGAAATTTCTGCAATTTGATTAGCTTGGAGCAGTGGTATTTTAGCTTAATTTAAAATACCTACATGTGAAAATTACAAACCTTTTGTGGGTAGTAGTATAAACAAATAATAGCATGATTTTTATGGATATTTGGCATAAATATCACTCGTGATATTTCAAAATTGTCTCAAATTTCACCTGCCTATCTGCTTGCAAAATTACGTTAAATTAACAATTTTAAAATATCACAAGTGGTATTTATGCCAAATATCACTACAAATCATGCTATTACCTATACTAACACAACTGCAGCTAAAATATTTCAGCCATGTTGTATCAGATGCACAGCAGTCACCGGGGCATGTGATGTACTACTTACCAGAAGTTCTGGTGGGCCATCCTCTGCGTCTTCAGATGACTGTTCTTCGCCAATTTTACTACAAGAGTCAAGAAAAAAAAATATAATTAAGTGCATTTTAAACCCCTGTTTCCAAAATATTGTACCCTGGGTACCAGTGTTTTGATTTTTTTTTTTTTCAGCCATTGAGTGCAGTAGTGAATCCTTCAGGGTCACCTGCAGGCGAATGCAACCAGAATCGGGGCATGAAAAGTCTCTGACACCTTCAGTAGCAATTTGAAAAGTGACCAAAAGAGAAGAAAAAGCCATCCCAAAATGCACACTAAATAAAGCAAAACATCCCACCTAGTAAAAGGTACTAGTGATAAAAATTTTGTCAAACTACAAGAGTTTCATGTGAGACAAACCACCTTTCTGCTCAATTCACTCAAAAAGCAAATGAAGGAAGATGTGGAATGACACCTCAAATTACTTCTGATCTAAAATCAAATTCTCTCCAGACTCACAAACATATAAAAGACAAATTAGCACTGAAATCTAGCAGTCCTCCAGCAGCACCTGGTGGCCTTTTGATTCTGCGAGACTTCAAAAACTTAGGGTTTTCGTAGAAATCATATGCTGGGCATCCTGGATTTCACATGTTCAGAGCATTAAGCTCCCTTCAGTTTTTCTTAGAGCACAGCCTTGATATAGCAGTTTATGAAGAGTGATAAGTTTGCAAGCAGGTTTTCTGGGCTGTGGAGTGCATGGGAGAATATTCTACTTAACATTTTACAGACTTGAAATTCTGCATATTATGCTGCTCTTACACGAGCTACATGTGCAATAAAACCGTACCTTAAATCCCATACATGTAGTCTACGGTCTGTGCCGCTGGAAGCTAAAATTGTTTCATTATGAGGAGACCACTGCACCTGTGATCACATTAAACACAAAAATGTTCTAAGAAACTCAATAAAAATGTTATTGCTGTATAGTTAATTTTGTCAATATTGCCAATTACGCTTCCTTATGTGCTCTACAATTTAACATTGGCAAAGAAAATACTTTAAGTCATTATGATAACATCACAGCTTCTTGACCAACAAATTATACCTCATGAGTATATTTATTTCTAACATTACGAACAACAAAAATGAACCTGAGAAAAAACATACTATTGCAATCTGTTTTAATCTACTTCAAGTTTGTCTCCCTGTGCCTTTACAGCAAACCTGTACAGCATCAGTCAGGTTTTAAGACATCAAAATAACATTTTCAGTTTTTGGAAAAAAGAATTTCCTGTCAATTTCAGAAATGGTCAGAATTCTTCTTACTACTGTATTACTTTCAACCAACCACAAGTCACTTGTGTACATGCTCTTTTACAATAACGTCAGTAAATGGCTTACCTGGAATATTTCATCTTTGTGTGATTCAAATGAATGTAGTTTAAGCTTGAGATTGCGTAGATCCCATAAAGCAACAGTCTGCAATGTACAGAATACACACAAACAAAAGCAATAAATAATACTTATGAACCTGACATGAATGGTGATTCCTTGGAGTTAAGTCAGCAGATCTAAAGTTAGTCAACTGAGAAAGGGAATTACAGGCTTGATTTTAAGGTGAACTGACACAAACACACACCCTACATACAACATACATACAACATACTTAATAACATACTTAATTTGAGTGTAAATATGGGGCTCAGCTGAGGCCCTGCCAGGGTAAATTCCGACAAGCGACATGGCCCAAAAAGTAGCAACAACGCGTAAAATGAAATCGTGACAAGAGACAACCTCCCTCGGCCAAACTGCGACAGTGACGGCAAAGCCAACAATAAGCGACAAGCATTTATAAACACTGACACAAGATGTTTTAAAATTCAGACGGGCGAAATGGGACCCCCCCTGGAAGGGCCTCTCAGCTGGAAAAAAACAAATTAGGTTCAGATAAGCAAAATAACAACTTTGCACACGCATCACAATTTTTGTACACTTCTTTGCAGTAGTTACACGGCTAGGATAAGAAAATAACCACTCTCATGTTTTGAGGAGGAAGCAAGCACAAGGCAACAACAATATTTTCCTTTTCTTTTTTGGAACACAAGAACTGAACTTCAGAAAAATTTGCCACCATAAATGACAAATTGAATGACATAGATTACCAGTAAGAGCAATGAAGTTTGGGAAAATTCACCTTTTAAGTGACATTTCAAAGCCATCACCGATATGGTTGCTTAATTAAGCTCTCTAATGTATTTTGCATGTCCAAGTCATGTGAATTAGGTCTAGCCATTTGCAAGGAAAAGGTAGTAGGTAATTCTTCCTCAGGTAAATTTTCTATTAGGGCCTTGAGTACTGGTCTAGCCCTCGGAATTGAACCTGTAACTGGCACTGCAGGCCAGCACTCTACCAACTACATGTACATGCACCTATTGCAAGGGAACACCTTGGCATTTTCTGGCTCCAGTGTTGGATGCTACATGAATTTTTTATCAGTTTCTGTATCAGTGCTAAATTTTATTTTTTTTATTACCAGCTATATTGAACCTTACAACTGTACAGAGATGTTGTTCTACCTTGTCTGCAGATCCTGTTGCAAGGATAAATTCACTGTATGGATTGAATGATAGANTTCAAAGCCATCACCGATATGGTTGCTTAATTAAGCTCTCTAATGTATTTTGCATGTCCAAGTCATGTGAATTAGGTCTAGCCATTTGCAAGGAAAAGGTAGTAGGTAATTCTTCCTCAGGTAAATTTTCTATTAGGGCCTTGAGTACTGGTCTAGCCCTCGGAATTGAACCTGTAACTGGCACTGCAGGCCAGCACTCTACCAACTACATGTACATGCACCTATTGCAAGGGAACACCTTGGCATTTTCTGGCTCCAGTGTTGGATGCTACATGAATTTTTTATCAGTTTCTGTATCAGTGCTAAATTTTATTTTTTTTATTACCAGCTATATTGAACCTTACAACTGTACAGAGATGTTGTTCTACCTTGTCTGCAGATCCTGTTGCAAGGATAAATTCACTGTATGGATTGAATGATAGACAATTTACCTAAAAAAAGGGTGATGAATTGGCATAATATTAGAATGATGGCCATAGGCTTCTGTGGAAAGCATTCAGGGATAAAAAATAATTTTTGTTGAGGCAGCTTTTGTAAACATAAGGAAGCAGTATAGCTATGTCTTCAGGACATCAGACTCCCAATCTGGCGGTCCCCAAGCGTAACTCTTCAGCAGGGATGTCACTAAGATTTCAAGTTGCCAGGTACATACAATAAATAGGCGGGGAATCAAACAGCTAGGGATTTCTTTTGGTTCTATTTTCCTTCTATTTACCTAATGCAACTAGACAGTAGCCACATTCATAATAGCTGGGGGAAATCCCGGCCCCTGGCTCTTAATAGAGACCTTTAGATTCAAGGACGAGGACAACTACGAGTATGAAAGATTTGACTTCCAAGTTTTGTCGTGTATTCTCAAAATATAGACTCCCTGGGAAGCTTGATTTTTCCATTTCTCACTACTAAGAAAAGTTGACACTGTTACCTTTAGTGCAGGAGGTTACACCCTCTCCCGATTACAAAATGATAAAACTTGTACTATATTTAACATTTTGATAACTTGTTTTCGCCACTTCATCATTCTTACTAAAACTTGTAGTGGAGTGACGATGGCTACCACGTTTTCCTGCCAAAATGACGCTGGTTCACGGGCGAGTACTACTTAGTATTGAGAAAATCTTGTACTCGTTATCGTACTCATCTTAGAATCTAAAGCTCTCTTATGACAGCCCTGCTTAAGCCATGCTGGTTAATAATCAACTAGTTTAGAACCTGCTAGTTGAGGTTTTTAAACCATGTCATGCTTGACTTGGGATTATTTTGTAGAAAGGGTTCATGGAATAAGGCCTTAAGTAACTCTGCAATGCAATGAAGTTTCTCTATACAATTTACAATAAATGTACATGGTAAATTGGGGGGAGAATTTAGTGGTTTATCAGAAGTCACTTGGAGCTTTGTTCCAAGCACTACTATTATTTTGTTGGTACTTACTTCTGCAGTATGAGCATCTACTGTGTGAGTTGCTTTGGAGGCGTTGGTTGAACGGGTGTCCCAGCTGTGAAAAAAATATTAAAATATAACTTTAGTGAAAGCTACTGGTCTTGCTATTAATTCCTTAGTCATTTTTATAAAANTGTATCAGTGCTAAATTTTATTTTTTTTATTACCAGCTATATTGAACCTTACAACTGTACAGAGATGTTGTTCTACCTTGTCTGCAGATCCTGTTGCAAGGATAAATTCACTGTATGGATTGAATGATAGACAATTTACCTAAAAAAAGGGTGATAAATTGGCATAATATTAGAATGATGGCCATAGGCTTCTGTGGAAAGCATTCAGGGATAAAAAAATAATTTTTGTTGAGGCAGCATTTGTAAACATAAGGAAGCAGTATAGCTATGTCTTCAGGACATCAGACTCCCAATCTGGCGGTCCCCAAAGCTAGTTGAGGTTTTTAAACCATGTCATACTTGACTTGGGATTATTTTGCAGAAAGGGTTCATGGAATAAGGCCTCAAGTAACTCTGCAATGCAATGAAGTTTCTCTATACAATTTACAATAAATGTACATGGTAAATTGGGGGGAGAATTTAGTGGTTTATCAGAAGTCACTTAGAGCTTTGTTCCAAGCACTACTATTATTTTGTTGGTACTTACTTCTGCAGTATGAGCATCTACTGTGTGAGTTGCTTTGGAGGCGTTGGTTGAACGGGTGTCCCAGCTGTGAAAAAAATATTAAAATATAACTTTAGTGAAAGCTACTGGTCTTGCTATTAATTCCTTAGTCATTTTTATAAAAAAATCCTAGAGCTAAAAATTAAATAGGAAAACTTTTTAATTGCCACTACATGGTAGTTTCACTTGGTTGTTCAACACTTTCAGTATTGAAAAACAGTGGCTGCAACTATCTTCCAGAAAAAGTTATTGTGTAACTCTGTTTTAACTGTAAGACTTGGCTCACATCAGACATACATCAGCTGCAGTACAGTTAACTTACATCATAAGCTTGTGGTCATCTGCCACTGAACCAAACAAACTCTCATGCAAAAGATGCCATGACACATCCTATGACAACACAGACACATTAGGGAATAACCAAGAAACACAGACAAAATGCTAATTTCAAACATGCATGCATAGAGTAATAGGAAATAAAACTTGCTTTAAAGTTTTCTCTGTAGAAGTGCAAAAGGCTAGTAGTTTACACAGCAACATTTGATCTCATCTTGACGCCCTGTTTCAGTGTTCACTGAAACTGTCTCTCTAACTACACCCAATGTTTAATTAAGTACTGTGTTTTTGCTTATTTGAAACTGTTTTGCCTTTTAAAACTTATAGATCAAAATACATAGAGGATATTACACGGTGGTGCAAAGATATGAATTTTACTTTCGAGTGGCAAAACAATATTTTACGAACGAGTGCAGCGAGTGAGTAAAATATTGTTTTTGCCACAAGAAAATAAAATTCATATCTTCAAGCCGCCGTGTAATGTCCTTTTTATTATATAGACAAAAAGACATTGATAAAATAATAGAGGGAAATGACCGAAATTACGTCATAGATAAACTCATGTGTGAGATTATGGAAAATAAACCACTCGGGTCCCGGATGTTGTTTTTATGAATTTTACAAGTGGTATATTTTCCATTAAAACACTCGTGTCTATATAATAAATGTCGATAAAAACAAGCTTGAGGCAGCACTTCACTTCCAATATCAAGCCTCTAGTAATAATACTTCACTGGGTTTTTTATATTTGCTGAAAATGCATTCATTATAAAGTTTGTACCTCAACAACAGCTGTGTGTCCAGTAAATACTCTCAAAGCATCCATAGTCTTTGCTTCCTAGAATAAATATTAAAAATATAGAATGCATACAAAATAATAAATTTGTTCATTTTAAATGCAAAAAAACAATGCAGTCAGAGACGGTTTGTCCTTTATACACTGTAGTTGTCTATCTACCAAAAATAAATGTAGTAAGGACATGCTATACCTTTGCAACAGTGCTAATATCCCAGAGGCAGACAGTCTGTTAAAGGAAAGAGATATCAGTGAATATGACTTATCCTAGTACAAAAAGCCAAATAAATGAAGCTTTGGCATAATGCACATGTACTAGATTAAAAAATGACTTATATCTAATTTTTATTTTATTTTATTTGCCCCACAATAATTACAAAAAATATAGGAGAAGAAGAAAAAAAGAAGTGGCGGATAATGGTATGCTTAACAAAAGTAAATAAAACTAAAGAGTACAAGCAAGAAAACCCAACTGTTATGCAATCATCAAAATGTCCAAATATACAAAAAAGGAAAGCATTATCAGACCCAGTGGCTACCTATGGGAAAGAAATATCTTATATTTTTTCTCATATTTTTATTAGATTTTATTATTGTAACCATTAATCTAATCAGCTTTTGGTTGTGATTTTAATCAGAATAAACTATCTATCTATCTATCTCGAAAGCAAATTACACATTAGCCAAGTTCCCACACTAAAACCTAAAGTAACTATAAGAAAGCTATTGGCCTACAAGGCTAAAAAAAAATTTAAAAAATCCTCAGGTCGCCTTTTGGCGACCAACTGGAGAAATATAGTCACCAGAGGCAAATTTTTAGTCGCCAGTTTGTTTAATGTAAATGACGCAGCTCATAGTACAGTTCAATCCATCAGATTTGATTGTTTCGGTATAAATTTGGAGGTAACCTGGCTTATAACCAAAGCAAAGCAAGCTAAGATAAAATGTTTGTTTTAACTTTACTCCCTTAATTTAGATCTAAATAATAGCTCTAGAAATATGGTCACCAAAGCGGCGACTAAACCATAATTTTTAGTTGCCAAGGAGAAAATGTTAGTTGCATTGGTGACCGTATCAGTCACAATTTCGAGCCCTCTCCTAAGAATCACAATTAAGCATTTTTGTTTTACTCAGGAAAAAACAACTTCAGAAAAACATTCAGTCATGCATACAAAAAAGGTTTAAAGAATTTGAGTTTCTTGTAATATATTACATGTAGCTTGTGTAATGCCTCTCTGCAACAGAAAATACAGAGAGAACACTGACAGAAGTGTTCTATATGTAGCTGTTCACTTCAGCATAACTTACATAATCATCTGATGCACTCAACAGATTTCCATTAAGATTGGGATTCCACGACAGTCCATACCCTTCTTTGGTATGGCCCTTCAGTCTTATATCAGGTCGACACTCTCCATTGGGATCTAACAATAAAAACAAACATAAAAAAACCTGAAACCTTGGTGTGGGATTCTTGGTAAGAGAGTACAGTATGTCCCTCAAGACTATGACTGGGTAAAATATCTTAAAATTCAAACCTGGTTTTGAAGGGTGTTTTGTGTAGTCAAAAACAAGGACATCTGCTGTTGGTGTCTTGGTTGCAATGATACATGGGTTTTGAGGCATGTACCGTGCCCTAAAATAAAGGAAATGAAGGTTAAATAATATCAATAATAATAATAATAAAGGAAATAAAGGGAGATGTAAAGAATCAACCATAAGAGGACACAGAATAATACTTTATTCATATACATATATGCACATAAACATGATACATGATACATATTTGAAAAGGTGGACTGCGAGGTTATCCCTATAAAAGGTCCCCTAACTGAACTTTAAAATATCAAAAAATAATAAAAAATGCACGTAAAAATCATTAGTGCAGGTACAAAATGGTATAGTGCAAACTGTAGGAATGATATTGAAAATGAAAATATATACAAAATGTGAGCTACTGTGTTACTTGCTTATGTAAAGAAACAAATACAGAGTGTAAAGAAAGTCAGTTTTACAGCTTGTTCTGGCTACATGTAGCATGCACTAGACCATGAGTCATTTTAACTAGCCAGAAAAAATCTGATGAGCAACAGTTCTCTGCAATTTGAATTACCCATAAAACTTTACTTGCCCATCCGGCAAGTTAAGAGCAGCATTCACCAGCCCAATAGCAAAATCCACCGCCCCAGGCTGTCAGACACTACTTTCTTTGGACACTGAAATAGCAACGTCTCACTTTCTGGAGTTGGATAATTTACCTGTTAACTTCTCCTTCATGGTTGATTTTAATTTCTATTTCAATTTTTCCACTTACAGAACCAAAACCACCAAACTCTGCAAATAAAAACATTAGACATAATGTGATACTCTATAAAGAAACTTTACTTGGCCAAGCATGCCTAATGTTAAGTACAGCATATGTATGCTATGCGGCCACAAAACAACATTTTTACTTACTCAAAGTTGATACCGAGACAGTTAACTAGTTAACAAGAGAGCTAGGCTGTGATCAATCTAAAAAGTTGTTTTAGACTTTGCAAGACAATCTTGAAATGCAAGCTGTTGTACCTTGCTTATCACTATCGTAGTGACTCGTGTCCAATTGTGAATCATCATGAGGAACTTGAACACTTGCTATCACCAAGTGGTTTTGTTCGTCTGATCTATAAATAATTCAAATACATGAGTATGTCACAAGGCCAAGAGCATAATGATTATTGTTGTCTTCTTCAAGGCAGTAACATGTAAAACAAAATTGAGCTACATACGTATGGGTTCCAAGAATGATCCTGTGTACAGAGTAATCCTTTCCCTCAGGTCTGTAAGAGTACAGTGAAAAGATAATTCAAGATAATTTATTGTTTTAAGATTATCAGAAGATAAAAAATAAAAGGACTTCCATTACTTTTAAATTATGGCCTTGTAGTCAATGTACACTTCCTGAGACAGCAGCCTAGTTGAAACTAATGCAAGTCCTTAAATTTCTCCATTCGAGGGGAAATTAATGGTCATAAGGTAAGCCCATTTTGAAGGATACCTACTTTGGTGCCTTTTGCGGGGATACATTTGCATTGCCTGCTCATTAGCCACAGGTGTCATTTGTGTTGAAAAAGATAAGTGCAAGGTTTGTAATTTGAAGCAGTCACCCCTGGAGATTTGGCTATCTGCTTGGTCACTTGGCTGTCTCCCTGTGGTGGCTGTTGCAAGAGGTTTGACTGCAATTTGGTCTGCATTATTTTGTGATGATCAGGATTGGAATCAGTAATCCGCGATCACTTGGGCCATGATGTATCAAAGGGATCAATGAATCTGCTCTGGTAGATGATTGATCACCTCTTTTGGTAGAACCCATTAACTCGAACTCAGACAACTCAAACTCCCCGCTAACTCAAACTTGGATTTCACCAACTTTCCAGTCATTTTAATTGGTTAACTCGAACTCAGATAACTTGAGTTCCCCGCCAACTCGAACTAAATTTCTTTTCCTTTGATCAAAAAGTCACTGAAATTTACCCTGATAACTTTTCTTCATTAGCTCTTCTTGTTGTATACGAGTAAAAACCCTAAAACTTACACTGGTCAACACTTACGCAAATTGATTTTAACTGTGAAACAAACAGATCACATTTTATCATAAAAAATGCCTAATCATGTTACAGTTTCTGATGAAATAATTTAAATTTGCACTGCACCATTTTATAAGTGCTGAAAATCAGTAACTACTGAAGCTTATTTTTAACATGGCAAATTGAATTTTGCAATCGACCCCGAAGTTCCGCTAACTCGAACTGTTTTTCATTCCTTTCACAGTTCAAGTTACCAGGGTTCTACTGTTCTATGATCTGAGTGATCTCCAATCAATCGTCCTGACACAGATCACTCCAAAGAAATGTACCTAATTGTACCACACACTGTCAAAACGATTTGTGTAACACCATTTTTTAAGGGGGGGGGGGGGCTAATTTCTTAGGCTTGCAAACACAATAAAATAAGATCTCTTCAAAAATCAAAAGCAATAACATTAATCGCCTGAAAGGTTGAAACTTACGAAGTACGAACTGGCCCAAGGTAACACAGACAAAAAAGGTTGTAGGTCACGACAAGTCACGATGAAAACGTTGTAAATTAAATAGGATTCGCAGAACGATCGCGGCTACATATATAATAATTTATTTGAAATCTTTAAAAAAAATCACTTACTTCCTAACATCAGGAAGCCATTGCACGGTAAGACTTGGCCATTCTAAAGCATGTGTCATCACCAAATCATATAAAAATGGCGTGTTCTTTTTCCAGATTTTGTATTCTTCATTGATGATCCTTTCTTCCACCGCATCATCGAAAGGTTCTTCGCAAAAAAGGAAATACAAATATATCATCATCGCAGATTTATTCATCAAAAAAAGACTAAAAAAAACCTTACCGTTTTCTTTCGGTGATCCAGACATGCCAGAACAATGTGAAAGTTATTTTTCCTCGTGGCCAAGCTGACAATTACGGCAAACAAAATGGCGTGCGTATTCCCCGCCAAATTCTAATATCACGTGGTTATAGCGGGCCAATCAGGCACATTTTTGACGATAACCGCATTTCAGTGGCCAAACATGACAGAAGATTCAGTTTTCTCACATGAACATTTACCCACTTTATTTCTTATATATTCATATTTTAAATCTATTTTAATATTTTTCCTTTCTTTTTTTTACGCGACACCATCTATGTAAATGGTACTGCGAAATAATAAAGGATTAAATTAACTACAAAAACCGTGGACGAAGATCCTGCTAGTTGTAAACGTTGGATCTCTAAAAAAGAGTTCTAATCAGACTAATCAGCCAAAATATAAAGAACCAAGAACGAGAAGTCCAAAGATTAAAAAAACTAAAACAAAACTACGTGCAAACAGTCGCAACAACTCCCTTTGGCTGTCGATAAAACTCGGAACACGGAACATTCCGAAACCTTCCGTATGAAAAATTGTTATACATAAAAAAAAAATTAATATAAAAATTAATAGAATAAAAAGCCAAAAAAGTAAAATAAACAAACAAGTAAATAAATTAAAATAAACTATTGTCATCTCCGAAATTGAAAGATATATATATATATTTTTGGGGGGGCGGGGGGCCGGGGCGGCCGGGAGGTGTTGTAACAGTTCCATGCAAATTACAGTACTGGGTAAAGTCTCCCCTCTAATTAAAAAAAGTCTTTAAACTAGTAGCTTCCAATCGAAAGTGAAGTGCTGCGAGTAAAGCATGGCATTTCAAATAGTTTGAAGTTTCAATTGCAGTGTGTATTTCGATTGTTGATATTTTAGGTGCATGCACGGGGGGGTACTCCCATACATTACCCGGTTATGTGCCGCCCAACGGGGTCGTGATTTTGGAGCTCCTGATTTAGAACGGGGTGTCCATTTCAGAGGCGTTTTCTAGAATGGGGTATAAAAAATTGTGGATCACGGCTTTATCTTCTGCTTAAAATTGTTGCTGATTACGAAGAATCATTTATTTGATATATAAGTCGAACAAATAAAGAAATATCTTTTTAAAAAAACAGGGCTCTTTCAATGTACAAACTTTCCAGAATGGAGTATAAAAAATTGGCCCATTTCTAGAATGGGGTATCAATTTTAGGGGAATTTTTTTAGAACGGGGTGCCAATTTGGAGTCCCGGGCGGCACATACCCACCTAGGGGGTGCATGTAACGCAGCACGACACGTTGGCGATCGATTAAAACTAGCCTGAGTATCAGGCGTTTCTGGGGAAAAGGGGAAAGATGGAAGCGAAAAAGGGAGAGAGCTGAAGGAGAGAAACGCCCTTCCTTTCTCTTCTCTCCCTCCCACCTGCCCATCTAAAATCTCCTCTCCCCTAGCCCCTTAGGAAGGCCTGATACTCAGGCTAGATGAAAACTGGTCAGTGTAAAACACAGACTGCGGACTGCGGACTGCAGACTGCGGACCAGGGGTAAAATGCAGACTGAATGTAAAATGCAGACTACAGACTGAGAGTAAAACGGAGACTGGGGTAAAATGCAGACCGAGCATAAACTGTAGTCGCGGAAGGGTTTAAGGGCAAATAAAATCCCGCAAAATACACGTCAACAAACACTTACTTAACGACATATATCTGCATTCACAAATCCAGTCATTCCTCTGGAACTTCGTCGACGACCCAAAAACATAATCGCAATCTTGAACCTTTTTTTTTCCGTCCGAGCATGGATAATAGATAGACTTTACTTTCTATATCCATTGTCCGAGAGACCTCAAGCTCCAGTTTTCGATACACGTGACCGTGAATTGGTACAACACGATGTTTACGCTTAAATAAAAGCTGCTGACCCAAAATACTGTACAGAAAGAATTATGGCGATAAAAATGGGAGTAAAACATTCCAACAACAAAGAAAGATGTTCTGCAGGAAATTTGGATGACCTTCTATGAAAGTATTGCAAATCAAGGTAGGCGGACGTAAGCTGTTCGGACGTTCATTGAAACTTCTGGCGAATGTGCAATGTACTTCGACAAGGAAGGTGTGTACAAGGTGTGTAACAGATACCAGCTGGCTAATCACCTAGCCTCCAAAGCAGGCGTATTTTGCTGTGCGATCGATTTGGACTTTCGACTGACCGAGAGTTGGGGCGAGTCAAAAAATGATTCAATACAATAAAACGCCTGCTCTAAGGCTATAATTCACCTTTGTGGAGAAGAAGGAGCACAAATGTTTAAAGAGTCTGCAGTCGATCTTAATTCCCTTTTACCCCTGGTCCGCAGTCTGCAGTCTGCAGTCCGCAGTCTGCGTTTTACACTGACCGATTAAAAACTGAACTTTGAACCAAAATAAGCGTTTGTATCAAGCTAGCCTCATACTTTTTTGTATAAAAGTCCGTGAGAACCAATCAGCGTATTATTTGTCTGAAAGCTGTCCACGATGAGGTGTAGCGCACGCGAGCGATGTGTGAGTGAAAGAGTGAATTTCCAATCGAGTTCAATATTAAACTGGTTCATTACGATTCGCGAGCATATCAAATCATCTCAAAAATACGGTGATTTACATACATGCATACATACAAACATCAAGTGCACGTATTTACATCAAAACGCAGATGTATCAGGCACAGGCAACCTAGGCTGGTCATGTACGCTACGCAACCTGACTGAATTAGTCTGCTGAGAAGCCAGGAGATATGCATGTTAGATGGGGACTGTTTACAGTCCCCTATTTTTGCCGACTGGTTGGAAATGTAAATCGCCGCCATGCTGGTTTCTAATGCAAGCGGAATTTTCCGATCCGCTGAATTTCCGGGTTTTCCATACAAATGGTAAGCGTTCAAGGGCTCATTGCTGAGAGGTTTGTTGACATCCGAATATGGCGCCTAGAAACTGTGAAATGTGCTCTGAAGTTGAAATTTTCTTCATGCTGTTTTTGGTGTTATGCTTTTTTCATACATTTGCATATGCAAGAGAAATATACGTTTCGCCGAACGGAAGTGATTCCGCCAATTGCACCATGGATGCGAAGTGTACACTCGACCGAGCTTTACGACTCGCTTCTGGTTTTACTTCAACTTCAATGTTGGCGAGTAAAGGAAATTACTCGCTTAAAACAAGCCACATTTTCACCAGGATGACTTCCTTTAGTCTCATTGGAAGTGGTTTCCGTAATGACGTTCAAATAACTTGTGAACCAAATGTAAGCCTCGCATTTTCTCTCAGCAAAAATATAACTTTGGAGGGATTGAAGTTTAGAAAGTGCGCGGGATGGCATCGAAGTACGGTGGGAATAGAAAAAAATTATCCAAATCTGAGGGGCGCAAAATTTAAGGCCGCCTTGGATTTTCGATATTGCAGGAACCTTCGGATGTATAATGTTGAAATTTCGTCATCTCCAGGTCTCGGAGTTAATTTGTATGATGTCGGGGGCGTTGTGAACTTCACACATTGTTTGTTTGCGGATAATTTCATTTCAAAAGAAAGAATGCACGCTGAATGGGAAGATGTAAGTAGCGAGAATGGAAAGTACGTGTACTCAGGTGGCGGCGTTTACGTTATATTAAATCCATACGCTTACGTTACAATAAATGTAACGCCTGGCGAGCATGACTCGTATCAACACAACAATATCTACGAATTTTCAAGCTGCCATTTTCTCAGAAACAAAGCTTTGTGGTTAAACGCACACAGAACGAACGAACTGGACACACCGGAACTTCCATTCAGCCGTGGAGGAGGGCTAGCTATATATTTACCAGACAAGGCAAGTGGGTGCCTCATCAAAATCCGATCAAGTGTTTTTGCCAGTAACGAGGCATCTTGGGGTGGAGGCCTTCAGGTTGAAATGAGGGGAACAACAGAGAACAATTCTTTAGAAGTAGAATCAAGTGTGTTTCGAGAAAACGGCGCTTTGTTGGATGGTGGAGGTGCCCGTATAGGAAACTTGCCAGAAGAGGGTGTCCATCTTCGTATAAACCGATTCAAGATGACCAATTGTTCATTTGAAGGCAACACTGCAACATTTGGAGGGGGGGCGTCACTGTATGGAACAACAATTCCCCGGAAGTGTTTCATTCAAACAAATCCGGCTGTTACACAGTTTTACTTTCATGGATGCAACTGGATGGAGAACGTGGGCAGTGTAGGGGCTGCCATTGGTGCATATCTTTACAACAGAAACGAAGATCTTATTGGGCCGGAAATCCCTTACCGCGTTTGCTTTCAGAATAACACTTGGTTTCGTTTCAATAGAGTTAACCAGCTTCAGCTTAATCTGACAATTGGGCAAGGAACTCTGTACAGCTTGCAAGTGCCTCTTATATTCAAAGGCAATGCGCAGTTTGTAAGTAACACCCAATCTGCATTAGTTCTAGATGGGTCAACATTGATGGTCTACGGCAGCTTGCATTTCATTAAAAACACCGGTGTTAGGGGAGGGGCGATAGCCATGTACGGACGGTCCAGAATTCTTTTGCAAGATAAAACCTCTTCGTTAACATTTGAAGCCAATAAGTGTGACGACAAAGGTGGGGCACTGTACATTGAAGCTCCAGGGGCCCCTCTGGTAAGCTTTGACGCCACTGGTGCAGCCAATGAAGCTTGTTTTTTTGGGTATTCTAATTCCTCAAAGGATTATGACGAGTGGAATACAACTGTTGTCTTCAGAGATAACAGCGCATCCTTAGGCAAATCAGTGTACGCCACAACACTAAAAAACTGTCGACGAGCGGGTGAGAGTCGGCAGCATAATAATGTACTGAAATGGAAGTTTGTCAAGTTTGTCAACTTGCCTCCAAATTCAACCTCCCTTTTGCAGGAAGTTGCAACAGAACCAGTGGACATGGGACATAATGAGAGTGATTGGGAGGTACCCCCTGGCGAGGTTTTTGACGCAACTGTTCAATTGTTTGACGAGGTTGGAAATCTCATCCCAGGAATTGTTGACGTCAGTGTTAAAACCTCTTCAGTTCAGCTCGACAACTCTTCGCCACTTTTTCTTGCCACTGGTGGCAAAATTTCAAGTATTATCTTGCGTGGAGAGATAGGAAGCCTCTTTGATGTGAAAATGAGTTATACAGGAAGCCAAGTTCTAGAGAAAATGGTGGAGAACGTCACACTGAAGGGTTGTCACGCTGG